TTCAAGCCCAAATTATTTTACAATATTATGTAAAACCTTATGCATTATTATAATTATATTTTATTACATCATCCCTTAGATAAAATTCGTGTTTATTAAATTAGTTATGAACGTTTTAGCTCAGATACTTAGTAAGTTCTCAAAAATATAATTGTGATAATTGTATAGATAAAGTTATGTAAATATCATTAAATATTAATATATGCCAAAGAGGCACTTAAAATATTTAGATTTAAAGTATAATAATGTTTTTTATTGTTCATATATGGATCGAAATTATACTAGTTCAGAAGATAAGCAAAAATTACTTATGCACATATAAACATGATATCGTCGATAAATCTACTTTCAAACAGAACAAAGGCTTTGGAAAATATTTTATTTTTCAATATAATGTATAATTAACATAATAGTTTGTTAATTGCTTTGATTAGTTTTGCGAGAAAATCGGCTGAGCCGGTTTTTTTTAGAGTTAGCAGAAGAGCAAAATTTTTCGTTCATGTTTACAAAAAAATCCTGAACCGATTTTGAAAATTTAAAAAGTTCGAAGATAAGTTGAGGATCGTGTTGATTAATTTTAGGAAAAGATCTTTCTAATCGTATATCTTTGTAAAAGAATTTTGACAAATTTAACGGAATTTTGTGTGATAATAATAAGTTTATGCTCTTAACAAACAAATTCTTAAATTTTATAGGCCTACGAAAAGGTTTGATTATAAAAATTCATCAAAATTTGGAATAATGGGACGTATCAAAATTTCTAAATTCTATCGTTACATCTTAAAATTTGTTAAATCTCAATTATTTTGATTTAAAAGGATTATTTACACATATCGTGAAGATTTTGCAACTTGCCTTAAGGCAAAATGTTTATTATTTTTTAGTTATTATATTTTTTAGTATTTTAGAAAGCTTTTAGGGATAACGACTGAATAGTCGTATAAAATTTACAAACCGAAGCCACAAAATCTTTTTCATGATTTTTTTATAATAAATTAATAATGTGAAATATAAATCAGTTTTATAACTACAATAATATTGTCCCTGTTTGAAAGTAAGTTAAAGAAAGTTGTCTTCATTTGTTAAACTTTCTTATAAATCATTCAAATAAGAATAAGACCATATAATGTTAAATGTTAAGAGATTAACGGGTATATTACATATGTGTAATATCTAAATGTTATATTTTATAAACATTCGAAAAATGATAATTACATATAATGAGAAATCATTTATTACTTGAATATATTTGTGTGTAGATATTGGAATGATTTCTGTGATGTGATGCACAATCATTTACCTTTTAAAAAATTTAGATAGAATTTATAAATCTTATTAAGAGTATAATGTTGAGCAATAGATATGGGTGTATAAAGGATCGTAGATTATTAAAAAACAGAGTATATTTATCTATTTAATCTCTATGTTTATCGTATAGCGTACTTTAAAAATTTAGATGTCATCCTATAGTCGAAACTGACAAATATATTTAGTACTTTTAAGCACTGTTTTTCTAATTCCAAATTGTTATAAATATACCTATGTTATAGTTACAAAACTATAAAATATTATAAACTGTGTTATAATGTTATTGATGTACGCTTAATAGATTTATTAAGGTTCTAAATCATTGTATTAATTTTAATTAATTAATATAATAATAAGTTGCATTCACATTTATAAATGTGATACCCTCGAATAGCTCGCAGTTATTAAGATATTTAGCATTCCATGGTAAAAATTAATTGAAATGTGTATGACAAAAAATATTTTAAATTGAGTTAATTTAATTTTTGTCGATTTTTAATGTTATTTTTTGTTTAAGCGGAAAATAAAACATTTAAAGTTTATATTCAAGTTAGGAGAAGAATTCTAAAGTTAATTAGAGAAGAATGGTAGATGAAAGTAATGAATTCTTAGATATTTTAAATTGTTCAAACAAATCTGTATTTTGAACGAATTCAAATATTTTTGGATTACCAAAATATATCAAAGTGTCGATAATTACTAATGTGTTTGAAAACATGTGAATTATGAAGATAAAAATATTTATACAAAATTTGAAAAGTTACTGCAAAAATTAAGCATCAATTTTGAGTTTAGCTCTTTATTATTAAATATTATTTATTTTTTTTTAAGCAAATATTAACAAAAGTTCGAAACATGATTGCAACGACTGAATTTGACAAAATATTAGGATGTTACAACATTCTCAAAATATATTGAATTTAATATTATCAAAGATTCTGCAAAAACATATGGTAATATTTTTAAATAATTCCGAATAACGGTTCGAAACTAATTTCAATTTTTATCTTCAAAAGTCTACTTTGATGGAATTACTGAATGATATAATTTTCATAGAAATGAATTATTTAATGAAGTCAGTATATGAAATATTAGCTATTATATAGATTTTTCTTTTAAATAATGTATTTGCTGAGCCCATGACGATTCTTATCTTATTAGTTTTTGGTATTTTAGATTTAAAAAAATCATTTGCGATTAATTAATTAATTGTGATTAAATAAATTAATTATGAAATTATAAATATTATTTATATTTATTATGAACATTAGTAGTATATAATTAGATTGATGAATAATTTTTTGTTTAAACAAAAATGCTTAATTTTTTTTATTTTATTCGATGAGTCATTTTGCAATCAAAAAACTATTGATATTACGCTTCGAGCATAGTTATTTCCAAGACTTTAATAAATTTTCAAAATAAATAGATATTAAATAGAAGAGGGAAATTACTGATCACTCTATCAACTTAATTTTAGTGTGACTTAAATTTATGTATATTTTAATTTTTGTTACTTATTGCATAAATCAATTCTACATTACTTGATGTAGTTTTATGATTATTTGCAATTCTTTGTATACTTAGAGCCCAAGTATACTTCGAATTGAATCCATTTAGACATATAGCAATGGTATGAACATTTAATTTAATGTTCATGAAATGTTATGAACATTTAAAATTTTAACAGCTCTCAATACCTAATGGGCTATTTAAAAACAATATCTGTAAAGATGAAGTTCATTAAACTTATGGCATGTTGTTAAATAATAAATATTATTTTATCTTCCACAAATATATATTTAAAATTCGTGTAGTATATTAAAGCAGATTTCAGCAAATCTATTTATGTACTTATGTATTTAATTGTACATAATAAAATTTATTTATTATAGTTAAGTGCTGTTTATTAATATTTAATATAATTTTAATATTAATATTTGATCAATAATCTTCTTTGACGCATCATGGTAATCTTTCTATACTTTCTATCTAGGAATTGTTTCAAAAATATTTCATCGGAGAGAGCCGATAAATTTAAGCTTTTCATTAAGCTCAGAAAAATCTTGATCAGGTAAAATTTGACATCAGTTATTGAGGTATACAAAAAATGATTGAACTACTTAAATGACTATTATAAGTAAAACAAATCAACCAAAATTTCAAATAAACTGTTTTACGATTGAACAATCTTGATAAAAATGAATTGTTTTGTTTGAGTAAAACTTAAACTTTTTCATAAACTCAAAAAGCCTGAGCTGTAATTAAGTCAATCATTCATTTGACTGAATGCGGGAAGGACAGTTATTCGATTACTTAAATGACTTTAACAAAATAGGAGTGGTAACAGGGTGAAAATTCAGGGCTGTATTTTTTTTTCTAATTATGAAGCGTGAAACCTCCATTGTCTGCTAGTACAATACCAACAGTCTTCTTATGGACAAAACCATTGTATTCACAAATTCACAATCACATTAAACTCCTTATGCTTTGCATTAAGTGTACGGTTCGATAATCCAAAAAAGTCAGCATCATTAGCCTATTAATCCAGAAATAGCAGCTGCTTTAAAAACTTTTGCTGACAGAAGTTTAATGTGATTCCTATAATTGATAGATATTTGAGATCTTTACTAGACCGTTACTAATTTTACAAGTATAAGTACTTTTTCCGCAAATACTCAAAGCAACAAAAACAAATTTTATCATATATACATTCAACATCTATATAAGCTGCTTATCCTAAAAATTTAAATAAGTGATAGAAATTAAATAATATAATAAATAAAAAATTTTGATTTACCTTATTTTGATTCATGTACGATAAGCTTGCCTAGTTCTAAATGAAAGATTGCTCTGCCAAATGCTTATGAAGAACTGTATGTGCAACTGTTTTTCTAGATCTGTCTTAATTTAGATTCTGTCATGATATTTAATCAATTATATAATTTAGATATTGAAATTTTATATTTGAAATTGAGAGTGGTGTTTATTCAAGATTTCTTTCAGATGAACACATCAATTGTCATCAATAAACATGTTATTTCTTCTATCTCCACTTTTTATAAACTGGCACTATAAATAATATGAAATTATAATTAATTAAAGCACACAACCATACACATACGGCTTGTTCTGAAATAATAGGCCCTGGCCACCACTGGTTTATGTTTATTTAACTATGCTGGCCACTTTCCTCTTCGCTAAAGTAAACAGATACTACATATAAAAGGATATCTTTCTTCTAATTAGTTTTAATGTGCATGTATGATTGGAAATTAATGACAAACTGTAAACTTTAGCGGAAAACTAAACTTTTGAAACTAGTGGAAAAAAATTAAATTGTATCTGTCAAATTTCAAATTTCGGCCGGCCATTTTACTTCGCCATGTTGCCGCCATGAACGCCCTAAACGTACCAACTGTCAGGAACAATTTTACCTCTTGTCATCTTGTACGTACATGATTTGAAATTAAACGTAAAATGTGAATGTTGATATTGAAAAATGCTTCTGAATCAAACTAGTAAAGAAACATTAAACCACTACAATTACTCTTCTTTTATCTAAAACTTATAAACTGTATCTGTCAAATTTCATATTTCGAGCAGAAACTTTGCTTCGCCATTTCGCCGCCATGAACGCCCTAAACGCACCAAATGTCAGATTTGTGGACTTGCCTGCTGCATTATTAGTAGCAAAATTCAGTTTTAATATTTGTGTTCCCTAAGAAAACATTATTAAGATAAATGAATTAGCTTTATTTGCAATATGTCCAAAAATCCGAAACGAAATGCGTCCCAAACAAGGGCGGACAGATTTTCGCAAATGTCGAAGCAAGAAGAAATTATAGCTGAAAAGAAACGTCTTATAGAAGCAAAATTAAAAATGATGGAAACTGACAATATTACAAGCTCAAGCCAAGTCGCATTAGATAATAAGCTAGATCAAATGTATGCCATTTTAGTGCTTATCATTATAATTTCAATTATAAGTACATTTTTTTAGATCTGGAAAACCTTCTCTGGTCAATAGTTTTTCAAATGATGGTTCCTTCCTAGAGAAGTTTAAAAAAATTTCTAATCCTGTTTCGAATGAACCAGTTCCCGCCAAAGGTAATGCAGAAAAGAAGCAAAGCAAAAACTTCAATAATAATGCAAACAGGTAAACATATTTGAAGTATTATTACCTATTAAATTTATAGTATTATTTATTATGTGGGTTTGGGTAAGTGTTCTAATTGCTGTAAAATATATAAAATTTTAGTTCATAGTTTAATATTCATGTAACACTATATAGAAAATGCATTCATTACATTTGCTAAAACTTTTTTCATGTTGTCTTAACTTTTATTGGGTGTTTTCATAAATAAGATCATTTTATGCAACTTGACCACAGTAATATTAGTAGTTATGTTGATATTGCATATAGCGTAATAAAAACGACATCTAATTCTTAATTTAAAAGGCTAAAAAGAACTCTTGTATGAAAGTAAATAAAAAGTTTCTGGTTAAGGAGAGTTGAAATATACACACAATGTGAATAGATTGTTATAAAAGCTTTTGAAAGCTTTTTGTGCAATATCAACACTTTTCTTTATCAGAATAATAATATTTTTGATATAAGCTGATTTCAATTTCATTTTCGCAATGATGATTAACAATCTCATAATAAAAATCACAGATGTTCATAATTGCTTAATATACTAATGATAATAATAAAATCCAGGCTGTCATTTAACATATTGCAACAGGATTTTACTGCTTTAAAAATGAAATTTTAAGATGCTAGCATTAAAACTTGTTTTTGCATGAAAATAATTCATATTAATCATAATTTCATAACCACATTTGGGCATTCAAATAATGTATTACTTAGTAAAAGTTTTAATTTTGATATTACATTTGTGTGATCATTTACCATAAATATACACATTTTATATTAGTACAATTCACTTTTCAAATTATATTAATTCATTGACTGAGTCTTATGATTATATCTTAAATTATCTTAATTTATTAACTGAGATGCATGTTATAATTATTCTTTATTTTTCAGGGTCTATTGTATATATGTTTAACATTATTATTATTTAATTTTACCTTAGGTTTATTATAACGAGCATGATAGATGACTTAATTAGATTTTTTGGAAGAGCAAATATTTTTTATCAAATAATTATATTTTCAGGAGTAATAATCATAATAGATGGAATAATAATAAAAATGATAATCAAAGAAGTCATCGTAATAATAATCAAAGAGATTATAATGATCGTAGGCAGCAGGTCGAAAATGTGCAACAAGATTCATTTAATTTTGGATACTCTGGAAATACTAGATTTCAAGAGAACAATTATCAAGGTGGAATGTATGGAAATATGAACAATGCAACTAATTATCAAAATTGTACTCAAGATCCGTATATGAGCCAAATGAATTCTTCACAGCAGTATCCAATAATAGCAAATGAAAGAAATAATTGGAATAATTCTTATAACGGAGAACAAAGATCCAATGTCAATCCTCAAACTCATGCCAATATGTCACAGCCGCCACCTCGTATCAATCATGCACCACCTAGTATCCTTCAATCAACAGATATTCATCAGAGGCCTCCAGGAATGCCTTCTATGCAATCTAATATATCGCAGTCGGTCAGCATGCATCAAGCACCACCTGTGACATCTCAACTTAATTCAACTGCAGTGCCAGCTGGATTGCCTCATGTTCGAATGTCTCAGCCGCCTCCCCTTTTGCCTCCAGGAGTTTCTCAAACGCATCCTGTTATACCATCATTAACGAGTTTAGTGATTCCTCCACCTACTGGGATACAGTTAAATCCATCAAACAACACTCAAGTACCTCCTCCGCCGCTACATCCACAAATGCCAATGTCAATGTCACTGCAGCAAAATGTTCAAATACAACCTTTGACATCAAATGCACAGATAAAAGCTTCAGTTCAATCTCCTTTACAAATTCAATCTCCCATACAAACAAATACACAAGCACAAACTTTAATTCAAACAAATATACAAATTCCTCCTCCAATGACTTTGCATTCTATACCAGAACCTCAGCCTTTAGATGCGATGACCATACCAAGACCAGCACCATTAAATTTGCTTTCTATACCACCACCATTACCATTGTGCTTGAATCAGATACCACAGCCAAAAGATATTGATGTTAGAAATATTCCACCTCCTCAGCAAATGAATGTATCTGGTATCAAGATGCCTGATAGCACACCACTATTTCCAGTAAAATCAAAAGGTAATGATAAACATGTAATTGTCTGTAGATCTTTACTGTGAAATGTTTTAGAATTGATTGTGATAATGTTGAGTTTAAAAGATGAGCTGCTTCATTAAATTTATTTAAAGAATACAAAATTCTTTAGTATTTTTAACATATAATGTAATTGTAAGAATTTGAGATTGGATTTTGCATCATTATGTTTAAACATATTTTTTTATATACATATTTTTTAAATTTCGCTTAATCATCAAAAATTTATTGAGTCAACTCACCTTCAATTATATGAAACTCTTATTCCAATTATATGAAAATAATAATCCATCATGATTACTAAATTTTTCTCTCATAAATATGAATCATTCTAATCATAAAGAATTACACATTTAATTCTTCATCATTCTGCAAACTGGCTGAAAAATTTACTAAGATTTGTTTTGTACTTGGGGGATGCCAAATAAGAATTTTATTTAAGATATATGTTTTCTTAAAACATAAGAAGTTTTGAAATTGAAAAATGTGTTTATAAAAAAAAAACTCTGTCGTAATTTTTCTCCAGCATTTTCAAATAAATATTTAACTAAATTAAACATTCGGCTATTTTGAAGATAATCTTCTGAAATGATGTTATTAAATAGTGATACAGAATTAAAAATTCAAAGTATTCACGACATGTGGCGTTTACATCCGTTTTCAAGTCCAAATTAAAAAAAAAAAACCTTTTTTGTATTCATGATATCATTATTATTTTTGTTGTATGGAAGTCAGTACTGCTGCTGACGTTTTTGTGTATAGTTTTATCCACAGATGATCCAATGTTCCAAAACGATGGCTCGAATGATCAGTGTGATAGAAAACGAAATCCTGGGAGTAACCCAATAGAACGTGTTGCTAAACTTGTTGTAGAAATTGGAGATGGATATGAAGAGATCTTTAAACAAAAACACCAACACGAACCAGAATTCTGGTAAAATTGTATACAAGAGATAATGTATACGTTTTAGGATCTGCGTAATATGATTTACATTTTATATATATAAACACGATAATAATATTTATATATTTAAATTTGTATATTGTGTTATATATCGGTATGCTGAGACTTCAGATCTGTGGGCTTTATATATAGCACAGATTAATCATTTATCATATTTGAAAAGTTATTTTTCATTGCATTTGTAGACTTGAACTACAAGGTTCTGGACTGAAATCACATTAAAAGATAGATGGCAAATAATTCAACAATCCAATCTACATACATTATTATAAAATTTGTTTGATCTTCAAATCAGGATGGAACCTTTTCAATTCATGTTATGTAAAATATACTATAAAATAATAATTCATAGGGACTATAAATACAGATTGTCACTCAACTTTCTGTTGTTGGAATTACATACTCAAGTTTACTGATTTCGGTGCATTTTGTTCCCAAGTTATATTTTTAGATGGTTGTTTCATTTCAATACTTTGTATAAAATTAAGTTTATAAATAATCTTTATTACTGTGGTCAACAACTTTTATTAATGGAGGTATTTAAGGTCTATTTATAATGTTTTACCAAGAAAGAATTATTATTGCAAAGCCTTGTAGTTAAAGACTATTTTTGCATTAAATTTCATATACAATATGGATTACAAAGCAAATGAGTAATTGTTAATTGTTCCAGGTTTTTGTTTAATCCTGAATCTGCAGAATACACAGAGTACAAGGATTTGGTCAAAAAGTTGAAGGAAGATAAACAGAATCAATGTTACAGTCCGGAGGAATTATATGAACCTGAATATAGTTTAAATGATGATGAGGAAGATGAGCAAGATGTCAAAATTAAAATTGAAAAATGTTCTCCAAAAAAAGAGCAAATATCATTAGTGTCCCAATTTTATGATGATGTTAATGATCAAAATTCTATCGAAGGTGATACTAAAGTGAAGGTAGAAAAAACTGAAGATAGTATTGACAGTGAAGAAAATAAAAGGAAACGGAAAAGGAAAAGTCGATGGGGAAGTGAGAAAGATATTAAGCCAGTACTTCCTGCACCAAATGTTGTGCATGTACCTAGCTTAGGTAATTTACAGTTTATACATTTAATAACAGAGTTATTTTCAGTTATAAAAATATTCTTTTTATGTTAATAAATATGAAGCATTTTAAAGCATTTAAAAACATTCTAACTTTCTTTTTTTTTTTAGGAATTGCTCTGCCACCAAATGTTGCACCATTGACAGTACCCGCTCCTAAAATATCAATAAATAAAGTAACAAGAACGGATAAAGCACTCCTTCAATATGCTAAAAACACATTTGGAACTACAGATCTTTCAGAAGAAGATTGGGTAAAAGCAGAAGATCATTTCAAAATTAATTTGTTATATCAAGAAATGTTACGCAAAAGGAAAGAACTGGATCAACTTGCAAAGAGTGGGAAACATAAATATGAATATGATTCAGATGAAGAAGTTGAAGGTGGAACCTGGGAGCATAAACTACGATCACAAGAAATGGAAGCAACTCAGGTATATAATAATGAATTTAATTTGTGATAATCTGTCTTAATAATTTGGCTTAAGGTTTATTAGGACAAATAATATTTCAAACTCAATATAGGAAATTCAATATTATTAACTTTCCGTAAGGGGGAGTATGTTTTCGTAAAAAAATATGATTCACTAATTTTATGTCCTCTCGACTTTTCAAGCCATTCTGAATCGAATGAGACCAAATTTGGAAAAAGTATGTGTGGGTGTGTGTGTGTGTGTGAACAGATTTTTTGCCGTAAATCGACTCAAAAACGGCTGGATCGATCGCAAAAATTTAAAAGCCATTCGATGTATCTCGATGAGGACTAGCGTTTATCAATTTTGCGCGACGATCAGTCAAGCCATTTTTTTGTAAAGTGAAAAATTTTTCGTCCACGTTTTAGCTCGCAATTCTGAATCGATTTTGAAAATTCAAAAACTGTTCGAAAGATATTGGTTGGGAATCGTGCTGATTAGTTTTTGGTAAAGATGCCTATCTTTACCTAACGGGCCGTTTTCTTGTAATAAAGTGTTAAAAAAAAATTTTTCGACCATAGTCTTATAGATCGTACTAAAATATTACGGCCCTAACGACAAGTTGTTTAATTTTTGAAATTCGTCAAAGTTTGCAAAGAATCGTTTTTTTCTGGCGTTAGTCGAAGCTAGACCTTTCATCGACGTTTGTTCAAAAACGCCTGAACCGATTTTAGAAATTTAAAAGCTATTTGATGTATCTGGATGAGAATTATCGTTTCTCAATTTTGTACGACGATCGGCCAAGTGATTTCTTTGTAATTTGGAAAAAAGTGTTAAACTTTTCGAACACATTTAAGCTTATCCTACCACATCGATTTTATAAAATCAAAAACTTTTCCAAAGATATTAGTTGGGAATGATACTCATTAGTTTTAGGGGAAAATCTACGGAGCCATTTTCTTGTAATTAACTGTTGAAAAATAAATTTAAGCCGAATTTCATGAAATTTTTTTTTGGCGATATATATCATGGTCTTATAGAACTCACTGAAATATTACGGCCTTACGACGAGTAGTTTAATTTTAAAATTCAAAGTTTGAGTAATTGAGTAGTTTTTTTGATGTTTATTAAAATTAAAATTAGATGATTTACTTGGTATAACGATAGAGTACTTGGTCTTAATGAACATACTAAACCATTATTTAAAGTCCTACGAAAACTGGTTCAATTATAAAAATTATTGATTTTTAAAAATTTTCTTTTAGAAAATACTCGAAATTCTTTTAATGACGCATAAATTAATTTATATTTTATTGATTAAGTCGATTAATTGCACATATCGGAAAGTTCATGTAACTTGCCTTAAGGCAAAATACCAATGCCAACTAGTTTACTATTATTTGTCATTGATTTATATGATAATATTTGATGAATGTTTAAAATCTTAATTCCTGTAGAAATGGGCTGAGGAGTTAACTAAAAAATCTGAAGGTAAACATCATATTGGCGATTTTTTACCTCCGGAAGAATTAAAAAAGTTTATGGAAAAATATTCTGCTGCTAAAAATGGCCGTGAGCCTGATATATCAGACTATAAAGAGTACAAACTAAATGAGAATAATGTAGGATTTCAAATGTTACAAAAATTAGGCTGGAAAGATGGAGAAGGGCTTGGTTCCAGTGGCAGTGGAATAGTAGAACCTATTAATAAGTGAGTAATATATTTTACAATAATCAATATAATTTAATGTGATATACTTATTATAATTGCCACATTTTATTATTAGTAAGACGTGAAACTTGTTTCTTAATTTCAATATTACAACAACCACTTTTCTTTTACAATCTAGAGCCCCAAATCACGAAAATAATCAAGGTTTAGGAATTGATAGACCAGAAAATTTACAATCTGATGACAATGAATATGATGCATATCGTAAAAGAATGATGTTAGCATACAGATTTCGGCCTAATCCATTAGTAAGTTCAGACAGTCATACTACTTTTAGGTATTACTTTTTTTTTGTTTTTGCAAAACTAAGTTTATTCCTCTTACAGAATAATCCAAGAAGGCCATATTATTAAGCAAGTTTAGTAGGTAATCGATATCTATTTATATAAAAAAAATGAAATAATATTTGAAAGTTCTCCTTTAGATATTTATATCTATGATGGGGTGATTTTTATATCTTATTTTTAAGTTATGTAATATTTTGTTTAATTTAATTCATACTCATTTACTACAAATGACAAAAAAGAAATAAAAGTGTGATTGTTGACAACTTATATTGAATAATATTTACAGCAATTTCAACACATTTATTTTCAATATAGCTTCTGGGGTTTAATACATGTAATTATCATAACTTAAAATGATCGATAATTGGATTCGGTAAAAACCGCTTACTACTTTATAGCTAGTACTAGACCAATAGGTTTGAAAAGGTAGTGAGAAGGTTTTCAATTGATATCGCGGTTTTTCGATGTTATTCTAGCTCCCACTGCGGCTTGTGCGCCTTTTTTTGTTCAGGTTTGGAAAGATTTGAAAATAGGTATATATATGCTGTAGTATATTAACACCTTGAAGACCACTTGCCCATTGATGGGCACCCAATATTTGTTATCTGGAATAGATAATTTTTTATGCGCTCTCGACAAGGAAAGCACGATTTATGATGTTTTAAACTTGAAGCAAATATTACTTTGCTTATAATATAAATTGAAAGTGAAACTAGATATTTGGGGGTATTGACTTTTTTCAATATCTTAATGTTGATTGACAAAGTGTTTGATTTGTGAAATTTTTAGATGTCGATATTTATGATAATTCAATTTTTTTTTGCTTTTTTATATGACCGGTACTATTTTAAAGACTATCATAAGTTTTTTGATCTTCTTATTACAACTTTTCAAATTTGACAGAATTGAGATAATATTGAACTCGTCATTTTCATGTGTTTGGTTATTTAATTTATGCATTTATAATTTTTTGTTATTATTCTTTTTTGTAACTTTCTTTTAATGGGGATTCATATTTTTTTTTACTGAAAACTTATATATTTGTTTTCTTCTTTAAATCGAGCTGGCTCTACACTCTTTCTACAAGTAGAATATTTTTGACTATTTATTTACCAAAGAAAAAAAATTCTTATTATTTTGTTTAAACAACAATCAGAACTACGTATTCTATAAGCTGTTAAGCCGATGTCCATATTAGTCTTGATATATTGTGCTTAAGAGGTGCAACTCAGTGGTCTGTTTTATTGTGTGTTAGTTACTTATATATTATAACTATATTTATTATTTATTATACATGTTGTTAAGCGGTCTTTTACTTTTAGAAGTGAACAATTAGTCTCATTAAAAGTCTCCGCTACCCCCTCTACCAGGTGTATCAACCATCCCGTGTAAAAGCTCAATGCCATGAAGATTGTCATCTTCATGGTCAATATAATAAATCGAAAATTCGTCCGAACACGTAGCTTCGTTATAGTTTTGGACCCCTGTATTATAGTAATAAATTTGTTTAACTAGATCAGTGTTACGGCACTTGAGACTCTATTCCGGGCAAGTCCGGGTCTCTTAGACCTTATACCGTTACTCGCAAATGTGTGACGTAACTATGTCGGAGATAATGCATGCTCTTCTATTGGCATCGTTGTCATTGATTGTTAGTTTGTTATTCGATATGGTTATATCGGACGCACATCTGTGTTACAACTCATACAGAGTTATTTCAATAGAGGATTACAGTTAATCGTGTTTGCAACTGACTGCAAAAACTAGGTTGTAACGAAATTCAATGCCAAATTTGCAACTTCAGTTTGAATTCTTGAATGGTTTGGTATCTTGCATGAAACTATTGAGAAAAAAAATCAACTAGGTATAAATGGCATCCATGAATCACGTAATCGATTTTTTAAGGATTTTTGGACTCCCCTCCTTCTTGGTGATACGTGGTAATATTCGCAACTACCCTTCCCCTCACCATCAAGTTTTACGTGTATTTTTAGTTACGATAAAAAGGATTTTGTTTTTTAAAATTAACGTAAAAAAATACACGTGATATCTCACTATACCCTTCCTTCCCCACGTGATATCTCGTGATTTTTATCAAATCCCTCTTTTCCCTGAAAACCTCACATGGTTAATGGACGCCCCATAAGGAATAGGATTTGACAACTAAAAATGTCACACTTGAATTTTGAAGTTTTGACGCTGCATAAATATGTATTAATGATTTTTTATAATTAAATCACTTTTCGTAGACCGATAATATTTTAGGATATTAATTAAGACCACGGACTCTTTATGATCATTATACAAAAATTTATCAAAATCGGCAAAAAAATCAACAATCAATTACGAAAAAACTGATCTGATTTTACCAAAAACTAATCAGCACGTGCTTATAATAGTACTATTCTCAGTTGTTACCATTCGAATGTTTAATTTTCCAAATCGTTTTTTTTGCGAAAGCCAAATATTTTGCTTTTTCTGCTAATTATAAAAAAACGTCTTAGTGGAACATCTCCAAAAACTCAGCACGAGTCCTTATCGAATTTCATCAATTGGCTTAAATTTTTCAAATTCTTTCAGCCTTTTTCAACAGATCATTAATAAATGGTCGAATTTTGGCAAATGCACACCATATATACTTATAATTTCGGTGTCCAACGATTGAGAAAACAAAATTACTAAATTGGATTTTCTAGCGAAAACATTTATTTCTTCTGGAAGTTAATAATCTATTTTGAACCATGGGTGGATAAACCAAAACTGTATTATACCAGTGAGAATATTTTTCCGTTTATGAGATATCCAGAATAACGGCACGGAAAATGAATACCATAAATAAAATAGTGATATATTTTTGAACATGCTTATTGAAATTTTTTCAATATTGTTGCGTTTTGAAGATGTTCCATTTATAATATGCAAATTATTTCGCACATAGATTCAACTAGTTTCTTTTGATGACCTTTTTGCAACCCATCCTTTCCCATTGTTGTGGTTGACCTTTAGAAGGACGCATTCGTTAACACAAATACCAACTACAAATATCATGATTACCATTGTACATTAAGCTTTTAAATCTTGGATAAAATTAAATAGGTGATATTTATTTCATCGATCTAAATCTACTGTTTCAACCTTGTCTGGATGATGCACATAATATGAGCAAAAAACCCAATTTTCGATTATATTTATTATGCTTGTCATTGTGTATATTGTAAGCGCATTATTTATTAGTTATTCGTAAACTTTTATATCAATATTGAACACTTGAAAAATGTTGCTCGTCTAAACTATTATCACCTTAAAAAAAATTGTTTTCAGTTCTGCTACACTAGGCGAGAAATGCGGAATAAGTCTCGGAAAAAGCTCTCTTTCAACTTTAGCTCGAATACTAGATTTTTTTTTAATGATTAATTTAATTTTTGAATTTTTGAATAGATTCATATATTAGTTTTGCGACCATGAGAGTTCAGACTTGATACTCTCCCCGTTCCAGCATGATATCAAACAGTAGTTATTACTTAACTGTACTTAAAATATAGGTCTAAAATATATTTCCTAGTGAAAATTTCCCTTTTGCACCATTACTGTATGAAATTAGAAATATAAGTTTTAGATTCATTTTAATAATAAATATAAGTATATCAATTAATGATGGTAATTGTTAAGGAGCTCATAAATGTATTAAGTCATTTAATGATCACGGCGGAATTATCGGTTTTATTATAAAATAATATTAGATCTGCTTTTTTCTGATCTGTTATTATCTTCTATGTCGTCAGACATTTTTTTTTGGTATATATACGGAAATCAGAAAAACTAATCGGCTTAATAAAATGTTGATAAGCAAGCTGTCTTTGGTTTGTGAATATAAACAGTAATTTATTATTTTTAAAATTTACCAAAAAGATAAAAGAAGTAACTAGTAAAATTGTTTCACTACTATATTGGCCTAAACATTTTGTAGCATAAACATATGTGCGTGACATTGCCAGTTGGCTCTCATTACTATAACTATGAAAAGTTTAGCATTTAATTGTTAAATAGTCATTGACATTCTTATCCTCGATCCCTTTTGATAAGAGTTTTATGGTGGCACATCAATAATTTACTATATAATTTGGGGATAAAATGTGTATACCTTCTCACAAACTTCATGTAATTCGATAAAGTAAAGAACATGCACGTCGTGTTTATTATTCAACTTAAGATTGTGAACGGATTTCTTTATTTTTAAGTTACCATTATTTGAAGTCGATAACATATAATTTAAAATCGGTGGTATACCGTATACAATAACGCCAACACATTTTTTTGTGAATATTTTCATTGTTGAAGCTGATTTGGTGATGCCAATTAACATGACATGATTGTTTTGTTCACTTCGCACGTTCTTATTTTTGAAATGGAAACAAATAATTTGGGATCGATCATTTTAAAAAAAATACTACATTTATATCAAGTCTTGTGTTTTATATGTTTTGACTGCATAATTAGAGCAAAATTTGACGAAAAAATAGTTTTTTTTCTGAAGAAATTTAAACCACTATTTATTAATTCTGTATACAAACTATTAAAGGTAATAATAATATTGTTTTATGTTTCTACAGAAATTATATAATCAACGACAATTGGAATACTACAGTAATTACCACTGGCTAGTTAGTTGTCATTACGGTAATATTTAATAGCATATTTTAAATTCAATCAACAAACTAGTGGGGCGCATGGAATCGTGTCTTAAGGCAAATTGCTGGTACTTCTCGTACCAAAAATTATTTTTTTAAAAACGATTAACATTTTTGAAAAAAAATTACTTTAAAAAAATGAGATTTTTGAGAAACTATAAATTTGACAAAAAATTACTTTTTTTTGAAAAAAAAATTTTATTGAAAAAAAAAATGTTTGCTTCATTTTGACATGTTTTGGAAATTCTGAACTTTTTTTCAAAGCAATCGTACTGCTTTAACTGCATAGAGACGATATGTCAAAGCGCGTAAACGCCACGGCGCCGTCTAACGGATAAAAACATCAGTACGGAACCCATAGGAATGTAAATAAAATGTATATTCATTGTTAAAATCTCTATAAAATATCTGATAATTTGATGTGCATATGTCTAATGATCATTTGACACATACATCCTCTTCTTTACCAT